CCGCAAAGAAGAGATCAGAGCAAGCCCGGTAATAGACAGAACTCAAGATCAAAATCAAGAAATGCTCAAAGGAAATGCTATCACTATAATAAGCCGGGCCACATCAAGAGGTTCTGTAAAGAATGGAAATGAAAGCTGGCTGAAAAGAAGGCAGGTGAAGGTGATGCTGCGGTTGCAAGCCAAGATTTAGGGTATGAACGCTAAAAAATGTTGGCTATTGGATTCAGCCAAAATGAGAACGAATGGATATTGGATTCTGGGTGTACATACCATCTGTGTCCCAAGAAAGAGTGGTTTACTGAGTATGAAGGCTATAATGGTGGTAGGGTCCTGATGGGAAACAACCATTCTTGTTTAGTGGTTAGAGTTGGTTCGGTTGTTGTGAAACTGTCAAACGGAACACAACATGTGCTCAAAAATGTCAGACATATCCCGGAGCTTAGAAGGAACCTTATCTCTCTTGGGCCACTAGATGATTCTGGATATGCTTACAAGACAAAAGGTGGAATCTTAAAGGTTCTAAGAGGATCTCTAGTAGTACTTAAAGGTAGAAAACATCAGGGGCTATATGTACTAGAAGTGCATGCAGTAATAGGTTCAACCAGTGCAGTAATTAAAGAGAACTCAGAGGCTGATCTATGGCATAAACGCCTTGGGCATGTTAATGAAAGGGGGCTAAGAGAACTAGGTAAACAAGGACTTATGGGCAAATGCAAGATAGATTAACTTGACTTCTGCGAGCTGTGTGTCCTAGGAAAGCAACACCGACTTAAGTTTGCTGCATCAACATTCAGGGCAAAGTCTCCATTGGACTATGTTCATGCTGACCTTTGGGGGCCAATATCAACACAAACACATGGTAATGCCAGGTACTTTCTTTCTATTGTTGATGATCATTCTAGGAAGGTGTGGGTATTTCTATTAAAAACTAAAGATGAATGTTTTACTAAGTTTAAGCATTGGAAAACTTTGGTAGAAAACCAAACTGGTAAGAAACTAAAGGCCCTTAGGACAGATAATGGCATGAAATTTTGTCAAGATATCTTTACCGAGTTTTGTAAAGAAAATGGTATCCTTAGACATAGAACGGTCAAAAAGACCCCACAACAAAACGGGGTAGCCGAAAGAATGAATAAACACTAATGGAACGTGTTAGGTGTATGCTCTTTGGATTGGGTCTAAGTAAGAAATTCTGGAGGGAAGCTGTAACTACAGCATGCTACCTAATAAATAGGAGTCCTTGTAAACCTATTGACCTTAAAACCCCTGAAGAATGTTGGACTGGAAAACCACCAAACCTAAGGGTCTTTGGTTGTGCTACTTATGCACACCAAAGAGAAGGAAAACTAGATCCCAGATCAGCAAAATGCATATTTTTAGGCTATCCTGTGGGTGTTAAGGGTTATAGACTATGTGTTCAAGAAGGGCCTCATTTTAAAATAATTAATAGCCGAAATGTAATTTTTAAAGAATATGAGATGCTTTACTTGAAAAGGGGAAAGGATACTGCTGGCTCTCCCTCACTTGATGCAGGTACAACTTCAAGATAAGACCTCAAAGTTGAGGTGGAACAAATTAGAGGAACCAGACAATAAGATGATGAAGTTGAACCCGAAGAACCACAACAAACCAATGAAGAGCCGCAAGCTACCACATATGAAAGTCTCACTGAACACACACAAGTACCCCTAGAAAGTGTCAGAATACATGCTGACTCGAGATAGGGAGAGGAGAACAATAAGACCACCAAAGAGATATGATGGTGGCAACTTGATTGCTTATGCGCTAAATATGGCTGGAGAAATAGAAGCAACAGAACCCAAATCATATTGGGAAGCAGTCAATAGCAAACATGCCAACAAATGGTTGGCGGCCATGAAGGAGGAGATGCATTCTTTGATGAAAAATAATACATGGGTTATAGTGGACAAGCCAAAGAAACAAAAGGCAGTGGATTGCAAATGGAATTTTAAAGTTAAAGAAGGAGCCACATCTCAAGAACCTAGGAGGTACAAGGCAAGGTTGGTTGCAAAAGGCTTTACTTAAGTTGAGGGGATTGATTACACTGAAGTCTTCTTTCAAGTTGTAAAATATAAGACCATAAGAACAATCATCTCAGCAGTTGTTTACAGAGACATGCATCTAGAGTAGATGGACGTAAAAACTGCCTTCCTACATGGCAATCTCATGGAGACAATCTACATGAATCAACCACCGGGTTTTGAGGTAAAAGGTAGTGAACATAAAGTCTGTTTGTTGAGAAAATTCTAAAACAATCCCCTAGATAATGGTATAAGCGATTTGATCAACATATGATTAAAGCAGGCTTTATTAGGAGTCAATATGACTTCTGCTTGTATTTTAAGGAGACTAATACTGACAATGCAGTATATCTTCTACTTTATGTAGATGATATGCTGATTGCCAGTAAGAACTTAGCAAAAATTGATGAGGCCAAGAAAATGCTAAGTGCTGAATTTGATATGAAGGATTTAGGTTATGCAAAGAGAATTTTAGAAATTGATATTGAAAGAGACCGAAAACAGAAACTTCTACATCTATCTCAAGAAGAGTATTTAAGAAAGGTTGTTCAAAAATTCTCTATGCATCAATCTAAATCTGTTAAAGTACCCTTAGCTGGTCATTTTAAGCTTTCTGCAAAACAGTCTCCAAAAACAGAAGAAGAAAAGCTTAAAATGGCCAAGATTCCCTATTCTAGTGCTGTAGGGTCATTAATGTATACCATGATTTGCACAAGACCTAATTTAGCTTATGCAGTAAGTGTTTTGTGCAAATACATGTCTAATCTTGGACAAGAACATTGGACAGCACTAAAATGGGTTTTGAAGTATGTCAATAGTACATTGAATTATGGTTTGATTTATAAACAAAGTTCTAACCCTTTGAACTTGGAAGGCTTTGTAGATTCTAATTTTGCAAGGGATCTAGACAGAAGGAGGTTTATTTCAGCTTATGTAATGACACTAGGAGGAAACTGCATTAGCTGGAAGTCACAACTACAATCAGTAGTTGCTTTATCAAGCACCGAAGCAGAATATATAGCTGGAGCAGAAGGTTTTAAAGAAGCTAAATGGCTTTAGGGTATGTTAAAGGAGCTGAAAGTATTGAAAGGAGTTGCTGTGATTTATTCAGATAGCCAATCAGCAATTCACCTCTGTAAGAATCCAGTGCATCATGAAAAGACAAAGCACATTGACGTACGGCACCACTTCATAAGGGTAAAGGTTGAAGAAGGGTCAATAGAGCTTGAGAAGATCAGCAGAGAAGAAAATCCATCAGATATGGCTACTAAGGTTGTCACTGCAAGCAAGTTTCAGAAGTGTCCGGACTTGCTGAGCATTGGCAAGACTTGATTATATCAAGTCAGAGCAATGAACTTTGCGAGAAGCTCAGGGTTAATCGACACTGTCGTTTTTCAGAAATTAAGGTGGAATGTTGTGAGGAGTAATTCCTGAAAAAACGACATGAAGAATTGATTATATAGGTCGGCTGTCGTTTGGTCGTTCAGCAACTTACCAAAACGCAGTGTAGTATTTAGAAGGACCACTCATCAAGTGACACGTGGAGAAGCAATAGTCGGTGGAGAGAATTCTAGAATATCTACAACTCTTCCTCTTCTTCACATCAAAACATCAAGACAGAAATTCGTTTTAGGGTTTTTCAGAGAGAGAAACAAGTGAGAGAAACTGTGGTATATTGAGAGATCTGGGTACTGAAAAAAATCTAGATAAAGAGAGTGATTTACTCACTGAGTATTTTTCCTGAGAGCCATGATTGTAGTTGGGTCTCTATTGTACAGTTTTCTGTTCTCGGTTGTTTCTTCTTTTAATCTCTGAGAGTGGCGACGTTTGATGGTGTAATCAATTATTAACTAGTGGAAAGGGTTTCTGGATTCTTGTGTAAATCTTTGAGCTTGTGTTAGGATCTCCCTAACAGTTTTTCTAAATGCACGGTGTTTTTCCCCAATATCTATGGACAAAGTTTCAGGACGACAAGCATCTTTTTGGATGTATAGTATAGACAATTCATTATAATATAGCTTTGATGATGGAAAAATCGATTCGAGCTATTTTGCTCAGGTGGAACTCAAAAAAAAAAAAAAAATCAACATTCAGATTATTAAAAAAAAAAAAAAAAGAAACAAAAATACCACACAAGATGGTAAAATAATATTATTTATTTTACTCCACTAAAAAATAAATAATCATCATTTAATTAATAAAAAGAAACAAAAAGGCACAATAACACCTAATTAATAATTATTTAGAATAATAAATAATAAATTTGCACAAAATCATGTACTTTTTTCTTATTTTTTATACACTAGCATTTTGCGGTACTAGTGTTTTGATCGTATTGCAAGTGCTGAAATTTTGTATACCTTGGTATTTATGTATGCAGGTCTTACTATTAATATCAAGGAAAAAAAACTTTAAAATCAAATGACATTTTTAGATTGATAATTTACGTTAGTCAATTTAGCAATTTCTATGACTACGTCTTTTGTGGCTTACGCAACTTTCGCTCTACGTAATCAACAATTAATTAATTTTGTGTATGTTTAGTATATGGATTCTCCTAACAGTGTAAATTCATAATTTTAGTTCTGCTATAGTATTTTTTTTTTTATAAAAATTTAAATTTCGAAAGTCATAATCAAGAACTTTGTTTTGAACCCATATACCAAACGGACCCTTTAATTTCTGCATCTCAAATAACAAATAGATAAAAGGGATTTTCTCTAGTCCTTAACAGTAATGTCAGTTTCTGACTATTAGTTCTTGTCAAAATCACATTAGATTCAAAAAATATACAGAATAAGTAATTTTTGATATAGATCTAACTACTAAAAATAAAAATTATCAGTAATTTATTTATTTATTTTTATCTTATCAGAAAAACCCTCGTAAATAGATTTTCATCAATCTTCTTGTGATTAGTAAAGAAGAAATACAATTTTGAGAGTAAAACTAACGTACCCAGGGACAAGAGGGTAAGTGGTCGTTCCCCATTCATTCTTAACCATGTGAAGGTCCGAGTGGCATATCCCACAGTATAACACTTTGAAGGTAACATCTTTTTCTCCATTTTCTCTACAACCAAACAGCCACATGCAAGCCAAAGTTTTAGATTTACATGTACATCGCAATATTGCACATCTACATAACCGAGGTCGTAAAAATAATAGAAAACATTTCTTTTTTTTTTTTTTTCGTGTTCTTTCTCTATGAAGAGTTTGAATTATTTACTCATTCAAAAATTTAAATTTAACTTTTATGTTAGTATTTTCTCTGACATAAATTTACTTTTCAATCATAGTAGAAAACTTAAACCAACAAAACAAACGAGGTGAGCAATCTAGACTAGAAGCATATCGAAGATTGTCAAGAAAAAAAAAAGAAGCCTTTGAGCATGCTATTTTACTCTACCTATAAAAATTTTATTTTTATTATTAAATTAATTTTTTAACAGTTAAATTTTTCATAAGAATAATTTTGTGTGATAAGTTATAAATTTTTAATAAATATTTGTACTGACCGTTAAAAACTAATCTATCGATTAAAATCTATTATTCCCACCCGAGGAGCAAATAGCATGCTCTCCAGAAAATAAAATCAATTAAGAGCTGAGAAAGGGAAAAGAGAAGGAACCTTCTTGAGAAATGGAAAGGAGAGAGAACCCCAGAAGTATCCCTAGCAGCCCATCCAAAGGCCTTCTTCAGGTTCTGTTCTTTGTTACACTTTGCCATTTTTCTATCTTTCGTTTTCAGCCAAAAGAAAAGGAGGAAAAAAAAAAAAGAAAAGAAAAAGAAGAGAACACTCGGGTAATGTAAACACACAACTGGGTCACTTGGCAATTGCAGAGCCACTAATGGGATGTGTGGTTACAAGATATAAAGGGTCCTGTACTGTAACATGTTACCCTTTATTGCTGACGTACTGGCTGAGAAAATCAAGGACAAGAATGAGAGAAGAATAGTTACAAAAGGATCATTTTTATTTTTTACCCTTCGTTTTGACAACTTTCGTTTTGGACTATCGCTTTATTGGCGTAAAAATATCTATTATTCTATTTATTTACAAAATTATCTTTTATTTTGTATAGAAAGACATTTTTAAGTTTTAACCTCATATAATGAAAAAAAGGACAGAAATAATGAAATAACAGAAAAGGTAAATTTTGGAAATAAAATCAAATTGTAATCATGAACAAAATTTAATGATACCTGCCATAATCAGTATAAGGAAAGTTTTTCATTTCCAAAAAAAAAAAAAAGAATAAAAGCACCCTAAAAAACCGGTTTCTGAAATTTAAACAACCCATTATCTGAAATTGCCGTCCAAGAAAACCTAAAATCATCCTCCATATACGGCCGCCATCATATGCATCAATTTCACCAAAATACAGAAACTGTTACTTAACGATATTTACAAGTATATCATAGTTAATATACAGAATAAACAAGAGAATGAAAAGAATAATTCATTATTGTAGAGATAAATTAACCATGAACAAAACCAAAATTCATTAGGAGCACAACTTTTTCAGTTTGACAATTTCATTAAGAGTAGTTTCCGTTAATTATATTCGGCATACTAAAATACAGAAAGTGCCAATTAACATTATTTACAAGAATGAATATCAAAATCAATATACAAAAAAAAACACAATAATAAAAAAATAATTAATTATCGTATGATAAAGTTACCGCAAACAAAAACAAAAATCATTAAAAGTACAAGTTTTGCCAGTTTGACAATTTCATTAAGAGTGTAAAAAAATGCTCATTTTCATTAACTTACTGATATATCATTATCGAACAGAATTTATAATTCATATTAAAAAAAAGTATTGAACAACGGACATTTTCATTATTTTGGCGTAGCTACTATCATAACTTGAAGGGATAACATAAATCTCAATTCCATTAATTTACAAATTCATTATTTTAACTATAATAACTTAATCAACCAGAAGGAATAGGAGAAAAAACAAAAACATAACAATCACGCCAACATAACGAACAATAAAATCCAACAAAACTATTAAAAAAATAAGATAGGAGAAATTGAAGAAAAAAAAAATACGCTAATGAACCAAACCTTTTTGAATTCCACCACAGCAAAAGCCTTGAAGCACTGCAAAAATTGTAGAACGTGACTACAAACAAAATGCAATATCTCCTCTACCCAGAAAGCAAATGTAGAACCCGACTCTTATGACATAGAAGACGACAAGACAAACAAGCAAAAACAAATCAATCCTCTCCTCAAACAAAATAAAAATCAGCCACGATGTTTGCTTAAAAAAAGAAAAGTAGAGGAAAAATCATAATTCAAAAACCCATATCAATATTACATTTAATGTAATGATACCAAAATAATAAAGGGCACCGTAATTACAAAAAGTTAAACACGCAATGTATAATGGGAAAAAGAGATCACAATATTGAAACGAAAAATAAACCCCAAAAACATCCATATAAAGAACATGCACAGAATAGACTAAAAAGGTTAGTCTGGAATAAAAAAATACCTTAATAAGTGTAAGTAGACACTTTTGTAGTATTGTATAATAGTAGACATTTTTAGGTTCAGGATTAAGTGGACATTTTATATAATTACTTTTAATAATTAATTAATCAGAAAGCATTAATGAGTTTTTGGCATACGAAAACGAGGCGAGTACAAAAATTTCAAGTACAGTTAAATAAGGCTGAACCGGAGAAGTTTTCTGTTTTCTTATTTCACTAATGCTTCTCATAGTGAAACTTGGAAAATTAGTATGTTTTTGACATACGAAAATGAGGGCATGCAAACTTTTGAGCATAGCCACGAGACAAACCAGAGGTTTTAAATGTTTTCCTGCTAGAAATGTACCAAATGAGTGTGTTTTTCACATATAAATTAAATGAACGCGTGCGAAAATTTGGAGCATAGCCATCCGAATCCAACAGGAGATTTTAACTTCTTTTTTTTTTTTTTTTTTTTTTTTTCGTTTTTTTTCCAAAGGGGATTTTTAATTTTTTTTTTTTTTTTTTTTTTTTTTTTTTTCGCTTCACCCACAGTTCTTATAGCGAAACATGCCAATTAGTGTGTCACGAGCATATTACAAGGCCAAAACCGGAGGTTTTAACTGTTTTTCTCGCCTCACTCATATTTCTATATATCAAAAAGTGCCAAATGAGTGTGTTTTTGACATTTGAAAATTCGGGTGTGTGAAATAATTCGAGCATTAACAAACAGTACCAAATCGGAGGTTTTAACCATTTTCTTGTTTCCCTCATGTTTCTAATAACGAAACGTGCCAAGTTAGTGCTTTTTTGACATACGAAATAAGGAGCACACGAAAATATTGAGCGTAGCCAAATAAGGCTAAACTAGAGGTTTTAACTATTTTTCTAACTTGACCCAAGTTTCTCACAGCGAAGCGAAACATGTAAATTTAGGTGCTTATCACATAAATTTTGAGCGTACCTGAACAATGCCAAATTGAATCTTTTAACCGTTTTCTCACTTTTTCATACTATTTTTATAGTAAAACGTGCCATATGAGTGTATTTTTAACATACAAAAATAGGGAGCTTGTGAAATTTTTTAGCATAACTAAACAAGACTAAACAAAGGTTTAAACCGTTTTTTGCTTCTCTCATGTTTCTTATAGTGAAACTAGTTAAATAATTTATTCTTGACATACGAAAATGGGGGAGGGGTTACAAAAATTTTGAGAATAAACGAACAAGGTAAAATCGAAGGTTTCAACTATTTTCTTGCTTCACAAGAGTTTCTTATAGTGAAACGTTTAAAATAGAGTGTTTTTGACATATGAAGACTATAGAAATGTGAAAATTTTGAGCGAAGCCAAACAAGGTTAAACTAAAAGGTTTTAACTATCTTTCTTGCTCCGCTCATGTTTCTCATAATGAAATAGGCCATATGCTCATCGACATGTGAAAATTTTGAGCGTAGCTAAACAAGGTCAGATCAAAGGTTTAAATTATCTTTCTCACTTCACTCATGTTCACTTATATAATATGGGAGGCGCCCATAAATTTTGAGAATAGTCAAACAAGCAATAGAAAGTTTTAACCGTTTTTTTTTTTTTCACTTCACCCGTGTTTCTAGTGAAACATGCCAAATTAGTGTATTTTTTACATATGAAAATGAGGGGAGTGCGAGAACTTCAAGCATAGCCAAACTAGGCCAAACCGGAATATTTATTCGTTTTTCTCACCCATGTTATTTATTTATTTATTTATATATATATATATATATAGCGAAACGGGCAAAATTAATTTGTTTTTGACATACGAAAATGGGAGCTAATATTTTGAATATTGCAAAACCGGGGGTTTTAACCTTTTTTCACGATTCATTCCGTGTTTCTTATAGCGAAATATTCGAAAATAATATGTTTTTAACATACAAAAATGGTTTCATGCAAAAATTTCAAGCATAACCTTAAAAGGCTAAACTAAAGGTTTTATCCATTTTTCTAACTTCACCTGTGTTTCTTATAGCAAGGAATCGGTAGCAGCCTTGAGATCAAAAGAGAATCTTTTTTGATTTCCTCTCAGGTACTGCAACGGTTGGGTCTGGTTATAGGTACCTTCCATTTTGAACCTTGCCAAAACCGTCATGGCCCAATCATGTATAGGCCGTACCAAGGCCTGATACAAGGGTGAGCCAATAGGGAATAACCCTTTCTTCCCTGCTCCCTCGACCTTGCTTGAGGAATAGTTTCACAAAAATGGAGACAAACCGGAATAACGTCCGATCTTGTTTCTGGATTGAGTGGAAAGGGGATATTTGAAGTTCGTTCTCTTCCTCTGTGCGGTAAATCCCCATGAAACCTTTACATTTTTAATTAAAGGGTTCAACTGATGAGCAAAGAAAAAAAAACAGTTAAAAGGGGTTCAACGTTGCGCCTTTTTTGAAAATGGGAGGAACATGGACTGATGATTAATGAATGAAGAAAAAATGAGACAAACATCTCTTTAAATAGAGTCCTCTAGTTGTTTAGCGCACCAATATTGACCTATAGATTTTTACTCTTTTACACAAAAACTAGTCAAAGTTTAATATAAACATTTCAAAAAATACCCTCAATGGTCAAAAAGGTAATTTACAAAATTATCACTAGGAAATTACTAGATGACATCGGGAGGCAATCTCCGTCCATTGACACCAGCCGCCGGTCATAATCTGCCATATTATGTTTTCATTTTTAACCAAAAAAATTAAGATATTGTCTCCGGCTCTAACATAGCCTGCCATAATCTGCCAGATTATGCGTCATAATCTGTCAGATTATACCAGATTGTTTTTCTATTTTTAACAAAAAAATGACAGGTTGTCTCCGACTCTGATATCGCTCGCCGACCAAATCTGCTATACTATGCTTTTAGTTTCAACTGAAAATGAGATGTTGTCCCAGGCTCCGGCATAAATCACCGCTGGGGGTCATAATCTGACAGATTATGTCTCATAAACTGCCAGATTATTTCTATTTTCAACAAAAAAAGTTGTCTCTGGCCCCGGCTTCGATCGCCTGCGCCGGCCATCAGTCATAATCTCCTGGATTATTTTTCTTTTTTCAACTAAAAAAATGATAGATTGTCTTCAGTGCCAATCACCGACACCAGCTATCTATCATACTTTGCCAGGTTATATATCATAATTGGCCAGACTATGTTTGATAAGCTGCCAAATTATGTTGCTATTTTCAACCAAAAAATGGCAGGTTGTCTCTGACGTCAGTGACCGGAAAGGAATATTTTATAATTTGTCAGATTATGTTTCATAAAATGCTAGTTAAAGGGCTAAAATTCTTAGACCAATGATCTCAAAAGGGTAAAATCTGTAATTTACTCAGAAAGAATTTTCTGGTCTTTATATTTGTAACAAAATTTAAATAGTAGAGTATAAATATTGCAAAAATTTTAAAATATTACAAGAATAACAAAATTTAATATCATTAAAATAATGACTACAATTAAATAGTATAGAATGTGACATCACTATAATAATGACTGCCATTTTTTGTTATTTTTATAATATTCTAAAAATTTTGCTAAATTTTAACTTAAGGTATAAAATTTTACCACTTAGTGTAATTATCAATAAATTTAAGACATTGTTAAATTCTCTCGGAACTATAGGCCACGTTCCATTTTGATTCTAAACTTTTAAACTGTCCCGGAATTAGTACTTAATTTATCAAATTGTTCCCAATTAGTACTTAAATTTATCAAATTGTCCCCAATTAGTCATCCTTGCATCATTAAAATATCAATAAAAAGAAAAAGCAAGATTTTATTTATTTTTTTTCCATTAAAAATTGTTATTATCAAATTGTCCCCAATTAGTCATCCTTGCATCATTAAAATATCAATAAAAAGAAAAAGCAAGATTTTATTTATTTTTTTTCCATTGAAATTTTAACAATTTTTAGACGAAAGGACTGATTCGTGACAACTTAATAGACCGGGTTCGCTCTAGGACATTTTATAAGTCAAGACTAAACTAGTGGTTAGTAGGAGGGATTAGAAGATTAGGAGACCGATTCAAAATCCTAAATAGGATTCATATGTTGAACCTTCTGTAGTGGGGTATATTGGTTTCATTCTTTGTATTTTAATTCCTTCCTGCGAAACACAACCTTAGTCTTTACGTAGGGACTATAGGTGACTATAGAAAGAGGTACAGAAAACAAAACACCCATCCAACAGAAAAAATCACTGAGAAAAAGTATTAAAACTATAAAAACGGCTATAATCTTGAAGAAGCTAGCTATTCTTTCTTATTTCATATACATTTTCCTTCCATTCTGAAGGATCAACTAGTTAAACAAAAGACTGACAAGTGAATACTGTACATAATATCATTATATATTTCTGGGAGGCGTATACATTAATCAGGTAGCTAAGGATGATCATAATAGGTTAGTACAAAACATACAAAAGTTCCGAAAGAAAACTGGAATAGATTTTGGCCACATTTCTCTACTCACTGGTTTCCCGCAGGTGAACATTCGAACTTGGCGTACTTCTCTTTGCTATTTTTGCCAACGTTCACCAGATACCGCCTAACAGATTTGTGATTCATCTCAAACACAAACGACATTCCACTAATCTGTAACTCAGCATTTACCATACAAGGCTTACATAAGAATACAATAATGAAAAGAATCTAGAATAAGAAAATGTACTACAACATATGAAGAAAACTATAGAATCTACATGGTGCAAAGGGCTTGTGGCAGTAGATTTGAGAATAAAAGATGGAAAATCCGTTTACCTCAATCAAAGTACTTGAGCTAAGACAGAGACGGTGTCCTGCAGCAACTTCTTTGCCATTCAAAAAGATTGAGCTCTTGCCAATATTCTTCAAAAAGAAGGAGCCGTCTTCTTCCATCTTTATAAGAGCCTAGCAAATGGTGAACTAATCATATACATGATCAAATAAAATGCAGTAAACTAACTTAATATGGCTGCAACATCACTAAGCTCCATTTGTTTGTTTCTCAGTGTGTAGTTGATAAATTCAAAATTGGGCTTGCTTAACCCCTAGCCATTAAAATAGCCTTGTAAAAACTGCAATTTTAAAAAATTTCAGCAGGCGGGGGCACAAATCAGAAGACGAATTGTAAAGAAAAAAACATTTTGGGGCAAAAGTTAAAGGCAGTCGCCCGCCACACCCATTCACCAAATCCCCAACCCCCCAGCGTAAGGTGCCTCCGCCCGTGATTACAAAGTGTGATTTCTGTTACTTTCCATAAAAAGCCGTGCGAAACCACAAACGTCTTTCCAACCATCAGTAATGCAAGTATGCAAAGAACTGCATCCAGAAAATGAATAGTCAAAGATGCCAACCTGCCGTCTAGATATTTTGTTTGCACGTCCTTCCTTTCTCAAGTCAATGTCAACTTCATTGTCTTCCGTTGCTCTCCCAAGGATGACCTATATAGTAGAAAGAAGCACTCAGAATAATAGGACACTCTTCATAGAGAGAACCAAATAGAACCAGCGTATACATACTGGCCCAATCATGCAGGGAGAAAATTGCATTCAGTTAATCTTCCCATATCTATGTTAAAAAAATACAAAAATCTGATGATCTTGCAAATACTCCGCGATTTTTTTATTTATTTTTATTTTTTATTTTTTATTTATTATCTTCAATTAGTATCAACTACAACTCAGACTTTTAGAAACAATACATACGAGAACTTAGAAATGCAAAATAAGTAACCACTAATTATTTTCTAGTTTTTTTTTTTTTCATGAAAAGAAAAAAAGAAAAAAAAAACAAAACAAAATAAATCAAGCAACAAGCGGTAAATCCTTTTCTAGTCCTCCATTAATCATACTAATCTGACATCCAATGAGGAAAAAAAAGTCAAAAATTGATGAAATGTACCTCAGTTTCCTTAATATATTGCTTCACATTACGGCCGTACAATATGGCAAATGCCCCTTGAGATGCAATGGCCCTTTGCATGGAAGATCGTGCACACTGTTCTAACCTCACAATGTTCCTCTTCGCATCCTCATGCCAATATTGTGAGGCTACATAACCATCGACAAATCAAAAGAAACTACAGGACTTCTATGTTTCACTGTTTGCATAGAACTTTTTGCTAACATTGATTGGCTAAGTTTTCCTAATGATTGATTCTGCTTTTGCAGAATATCAAGAATTTTATGGTGCTTTAAAATTTTCTTCACATGAGAACAACTAGATGCAGAAAGATTTAGAAACAGATGAAAAGCAATTATTAGATAATTATATGACTTCAGATGAGTTACCTTTTTTACTGAGATATGAATCCTCATAATCCGGACTTAAATCCATCTCAAGCATCTGAAAGAGAGAGAGAGAGAAAACCAGAAATACCACTCAAGATGGTAAAAAAATATAATTTGTCACTCCACTAAAAAATAAAAAATTGCCATTCAATTAATAAAGAGAAATAAAAGGCTATAATGGCACCCAATTATTCAGAATGACATAAATAATAAGCCTGCACAAAACCATGACAAACGATGTACTTTTCTCAAAGGCAAAAAAAAAAAAAAAAAAAAAAACAGAGGGAGGAAGGGAGGGAGAGAGAGAGAGACATTGGTTTATAATATGGGCAGTATTTATAAGTGAGTGGTGCTTTTTATCCAACTTTTTAATACCAACTCATAATTTTTCTACCAGTTAGGGGTGTTCACGGATCAGATTACGTGAATTAGGGGTCAAGCTGCAATCCAATCCGTTTATGCGGATTGAAAAAGTCTCAATTCGTTACCAATCTGTGAGGCTCCCAATCCAATCCGAATTCTGCGGATTGGATTACGTGGATTTGCGGATTGACCTATGTTTTCGATATTCTCATAAAATTAATTACAAAATTAAACACAAACATAACATAACATAAAATTTGAATAGTTCTACAATTCATTACAACACAAAATCTAACATAAAATTAAGGCAAAGTCGAAGTTGAATGCACTGAACTAACAAAGTGGAAGAGAGAATGAGGAGAGGGTGTGGAGGCAGGATTAATTAAGGCTCTATTATGTTCTACTAAAAATTTAAAATGAGTTGGGCATAGGCCTTATATTTGGATCTGGCATATAACATTCGGTCTTTCTCTTTTCCACTGCATACTACATATATAATTAAATATGTAAATACACAATTAAAAGATCTCTTATATATATTATTAAAAGTATAAAAGTTATATATGTAGTTGTTGGATGTTAGTTTAGATTTTAATTTCTAAATTTAAATTAGTTGTAATAAGTTTTGTTATCTTAATAGATTTTCTAGGTTGGTAGTTCCTAAAATAAAGGATGCTGATTTACTCAGAATCCATATATAGATGTAATCGTTATTTTTTGAAGTAAGGGAATAAAAGATAGATGCAGTGTTTTCCGTTTGTTTCCTTCGCTGGCATTTAGTTGAGGGAAACTATGGCAAATATGGCAATGACTGGAGCAAGCAGCGGCAATGGCTCAGAGGTAGCTTCCGATACCTCTTAAGTCAACCGCTACAACTGCTCCCACTGCAGTCTCAAATAATACTTCTCTATAAATCACTTCCCACAAATTAAATGGAAAAATTTCCTTCAGTAGTCTCGTTCATTCCAGATGATGATTCGTGGGAGAGCGAAATTTGGTTTTTTAGATGGAACTACCAAGAAACCAAATGATGATGATCCCTTGTATCAAACTTGGGATGCTCAGAACTCAATGGTGATGGCTTGGTTGATTCCCTCCATGTAAGACAGCATCAGCGACAATTATCTGCTCTATCCGACGGCAAAGGCAATCTGGGATGCTGTGAACCGAGCATATTTCGATCTCGGAAATTCTTCTCAAATGTTCGAACTCAGAAAGTCACGATTTGTGACATGGTATCAGAGCGTTTAGTTCTTTCTTGAAAATTCTGATTCTCTTCATCTTCTTTTCTGGCCAAATTCCTCTTGTTCTATTCATTTGATTCCCCTTATTCCTTATATCATTTCTCTCTTCTCAACCCTTCCAAGCAATCATGTCAGAATCCACCGAAACCAATCTTGTTTTGGATGCTCCTGCAACCGAGAATACTGCTGCCTCAACAGAGATCACTGATGCTGCTACAACCGGTGAGTTACAGAACATTCAGCTGGCGTATTGATTGAACAGAAAGAATTATTTGAAGTGGTCACAAATGGTTCGCATGTTCTTGAAGGGTAGAGAGAAATTGAGCCATTTGTTGGGCACGGGTCCTTCGAAAGAAGATCCTAAATTTGAGGTGTGGGATGAACAAGATTCCATGGTGATGTCATGGTTGTGGAATTTGATGCTTCCAGAGATAAGTGATACCTGTTTGTTTCTTGGTACTGCCAAGGATTTTGGATGCTATTAGACAAACGTATTCTAAGGTCCATGATGCTGCTCAATTCTATGAAATTAAAACGACAATTTCAGCAACCAAACAAGGGAATCGATCTGTCACAAAATACTCGAGTCTCTTGCAAGGTTTATGCCAGGAAATGGATCATTACCGATGCATTCAAATGCGCTGCAGTCAGGATGTTGCAATTCTGAAACGATTCGTAGAAAAGGATCGTATATATGATTTTCTAGCTGGTCTCAATGTTGAGTTCGACGCTGTGAGTGCAGATTTTGGGAAAGGAAGACCAGCCTTCTTCGAATGAGACAATATCGATTATTCAGGCTGAAGAGGGACGAAGAAGTGTCATGCTTGAGACTCAATTGGGAGATGGTTCTGCCCTTGTGACCAAAGCAACAAGAGTGAAAGAATCCAGTTTTCACAATAGGTTGACGGTGCTAGTAAACAGGCAGATCTGTCCAAGCCTTTTAACAGAGACTCTCTTTTTGGCACATACTTGCAAGAAGCATCACCACACAAAAGAGCGGTGCTGGAAACTCAATGGCAGGCCAATAACCGAAGTGCAAGTGACAGAGGACAAGCACACATGGCCAGCACTCCTCCGAGCAATGAAGGAAATTCACAAAGCTCTGGTAAGATCTAGAATAGAACTAGAATAGAACTCACCAACGAAGACAAATTGGACTAAGAAGAAGAATGAATCTTTATTGAATGAAAGAATGAATTACAATACAGTGATTCGAGGTACTGCTAGACCTCCCCTTGCTCAGCTTCGGCCAAGACTTCCCCAGAATCACTCAGACTATTCTCTCCCCTCTCTCAGTTCCCGAACCCCCCTTTTATTAACCCCTGCCTTCTCTAACTAATTCCCTAACCAACTAAAGTCCACAGTAACTAACTAATAACATCCTTTCTAACAAACTACTAACTTCTCTAACCAACTAACAAGTTCCTATCATTACAAATTGGTAAGATCTAGAATAGAACTCACCAACGAAGACAAATTGGACTAAGAAGAAGAATGAATCTTTATTGAATGAAAGAATGAATTACAATACAGTGATTCGAGGTACTGCTAGACCTCCCCTTGCTCAGCCTCGGCCAAGACTTCCCCAAAATCACTCAGACTATTCTCTCCCCTCTCTCAGTTCTTGAACCCTTAATATCCCCTGCCTTTTCTAACTAATTCCCTAACCAACTAAAGTCCACAGTAACTATCTAATAACATCCTTTCTAACAAACTACTAACTTCTCTAATCAACTAACAAGTTCCTATCAAGCTCAATCTCCGAATTCAACAAGGAAGAGATCGAGAAACTGAAGATTTTTTTGGGGTCTCTTGAGAAACTATCATCGGCAGGTACATGTTCACTGGCGTTTTCAAGTATCTCTTCTTCCTCTTGTGTTGCTAATGTCTCCGAAAGAATTTTCCCAACGATGTGGATACTCGATTTCGGAGCCACCGATCACATGACATGTTCTTCCAAACATTTCACTTCCTATACTCCTTGTTCTAGCCATAAAAAGATCACCATAGATGATGGGTCCATCACCACCGTAGCAGGCCAAGGGGACATTTACTTAAGCAATTCTCTTACACTTAAAAATGTCCTTCATGTTCTGTAATACCCACATTTTTTAGTTACTAACTTATTTAAGAAAAATAATACAAGTTAGATCATCTTATATTATTTTGGAGATAAACGTTAATTAGGTGTTAACACCATTCTTTTAAAATAATGTAGGCTGGGATGTTTAGAGGAAATTAAGGAATAGGACTCCATGTGAATTAACACAGCGATGCAAAACCACGTGCGAATCTAACTGCATAGCCTTAGTGCTATGGCTTAAGCAATTTCCAAGTTATGCTCGTAGTTTAGACAACTAAATATATAGTTTCTAAGGGTTGGCGTTTAAACAAGGAGGGCTAAGCATGGAGAAACCACATGGAAATTGAGAAAGTGGCACGTAGTTAAGCTTATTAAGCAAGCCTATGAACATTAATTAGCTGCCACATTGGGCCTAGAAAACAAGTGGCAAATGCTGGAGCTTTCGTAGCTGAGCTATTACATTTGCTGCCCATAATTATATTTAGTTGGTTGTCAGCTCATCTCATAGGAAGCCACAGTGGTAACGTGAGAAGAGATTAATAAGAACTAAATCAGAGAAAAGAAAAGTGAAGGAAAGGAAGAAATGAGAGGAAAAATAGAGAAAAATTTTATTAATCTTCTTAAGCAGTTTGAGGTAAGTAGATTTTTCACTGCATCACTTGAAAAGTAGTATATTTTTAACGAAAGTTTTCAATTTATATACGATATTGTTGATATGTTTCATGAGATTTGTAAAGTATTTCTGAGTATGATGTGAATCTTGTGCTTAGTATGAGCCAACGGAAATATGATGAAGGGCCAAATCCTGGAGGAATAAGAGATTCTTTGACAGGGGTCATATGAAAAAAGTTCTAATAATACAAGATTAATATTTTACAAGAGGGCCCTAAATGTTAAAGAGAAGTATTTGTAAGTAGAAATTATTTATAGTTTACTTACTGAGTTTGCGCTCATATAGTTCTTGTGATGCAAATAAGTGCTAAAATAGAAGTTTCAGTTGACTGAGCAAAAATGGTTAATCATCATCGTTTTCCGAGTATGTTACCTATCTTACCGAGTATGTTATGACCAATAAAGATAAAATTTGGCTTAATCATCATCGTTTAGGTCACCTATCTTGTAATGTGAAGATTTTCAGAGAACCGGAATAGGGTTTTGAGGAAGAATTTAATTCTTATTCTTATCAAAAACGTACTATACAGCCAAGTATATATATACACTTTAAGGGATAACCATAACCGGTTGAATCCCTTAATTCTAGCAGACTAGATAACAAATTCAGTAAGCTACTTATCTAGTAATCAGAAAAATCAGGAAACTAATTAAATCCCTTATAAATAAGGAAACTAACAACTGTACAAACTT